AAAAAAAAAAAACGTTGAAAAAAAAAAAAGGGATTATCTGTGCCCAGTCCCTGAATGCCTGGACATTAAAGAGTCAAGGTCATATCTAGTTGGCCCCATAAAACAAAAGGACCAATGGCCATTTCTCTGAGACAGCTAGAGACAACCAACTGGTGGCTGAAGGGCTCAGGTTCTTTGGGAACCCAAAGGGTGTCAGAAGAATTCTACTCATCCTTCTTTAATGTTGGTATACAGCAACAAAACAAAACAAAACCCTCAATTTTCATATTTGGCAAAGGAATTATCCTTTTCTTCTCCACAAGATTGTGGGAGGCAGTATTAAAGCTTGCTTATATTTTACCCATACTTTGTTAAGTCTGTGAACTCTGTACAAAAGTCCACTAATTTAGAGGAACTCAAACATTAGTCTTTATTCAGATTAACCCAACTATAGATTACATGTCAAGTATACTAGGCACTAGTGGAATACAAAATTTAAAATTAATCTCTTGGGGTGCCCTCGTGGCTCAGTTGGTTAAGCATCTGACTTTGGCTCAGGTCATGATCTCAAAATTGGTGAGTTCAAGCCCCGCATCAGGCTCTCTACTGTCATCACAGAGCCGACTTCAGATCCTCTGTATTCCTGTCTCTTTGTTCCTCTCCCACTCTCAAAATAAAACATCAAAAAAAAAATTTTTTTAGTATAAAAACTAAAGATAAAATGAGTCTCTTAAAATCTGTGAGAAAATAAATGTAAAAATAGAAAGTTACAACACAAATGCTATAAAAGAAATAAATACAACACATTCCTTGGAATGAGGTAGGATTATAGTGCTAATAGTGAGAACTATAAAAACAGTAACTACCACTAACATTAAAAAAAAATTTTTTTAACGTTTATTTTTGAGACAGGGGAGGAGCAGAGAGAGAGGGAGACACAGAATCTGAAACAGGCCCCAGGCTCTGAGCTGTCAGCACAGAGCCCGACGCGGGGCTCAAACTCATGGACCGCGAGATCATGACATGAGCCCAAGTCGACACTTAACCGACTGAGCCACCCAGGCACCCCTACCATTAACATTTTTGAAAACACACTAACCGCACTTAATCTCTTAAATGTTCTCTTAATCCCTACAGAAACTTTCAGATAAGCAGAAGTATTAGATCCCCATTACAGATAAGGAAACTGAGTCTTAGGGGGGGTTTAAACAATTTGCCCAAGGTTACATAGTAATAGAGCTGGGACTCAAACTCAGGCAGTCAGACTTCAAGATTTAGTTACACTTTTTTGTTGTTGTTTATTTTTGAGAGACAGAAACAATGCGTGAGCACAAACAGAAGAGAAGCAGAGAGGGGGACAGAGGATCCAAAGCGGGCTCCACGGACAGCAGAGAGCCGTATGCGGGGCCCAAACTCACAGAAGTGTGAGATCATAACCTGAGCCCAAGTAGAAAGCTCAACTGACTGAGCCACCCTGGTGCCCCAAGATTTAGCTACACTCTTAAAATGGTAGACAGCCATTCTCATGGTCTGGATAGTATGGAAAAGTATCCTTGTTAGATTCCTTCATTTTGAGTGGAAGAGACAAGGAATTTAGTAATTATTTCTTCCTTCAGACCGAGAGAAAGGTTCAGTAGGTGCATGTCATATGTTCATACACAAGAGGGCCTTCCTGAGGAAGTGGATGTGATGGTTAGAGAGGTATAAGAATCTCTACATGCATGTTTTAATTGGATCTCAGTTCTTAAAACACACTTGTTCCTCTCTTTTGAAGCCTTTTGCCTAATGTTTTTCCAGGTATATTTTCAGGGGTGGGAGGGAGGAGATAGAGAATAGAAATACTTAAAAAAGAGTCCTTCAGTATTAGAATGTCAGCTCTCCTAATTCAGGAAATGGAATAGATTTTTTTTTTAACATTTCTATTTTTGAGAGAGATAGAGAACATGAGCGGGGAGAGGCAGACAGAGGGAAACAGAGGATCAGAAGCAGGCTCAGCACTGATAGCAGCGAGGTGGATGTGGGGCTCAAACTCATGAACCATGAGATCATGACCAGAGCCAAAGTCGGATGCTCAACTGACTGAGCCACCAGGCGCCACTAGGTTTTTTTTTTTTTTTTTAACTTACTTTAGAGAGAAAGTGTGTGTGTGTGCATGTGAGGGAGACTTGCAGAGGAGAAAGAGAGAGGCAGACAGACAGAGACAGAATCCTAAGCAGGCTCCACACTCAGTGCAGAGCCTGACACAGGGCTCAATCCTATTACCCTGGGATCATGACTGGAGCCAAAACCAAGAGTCGGACACTCCACCAACTGAGCCAGGCAAGCGCCCAGGAATAGATTTTAAAAGTGAGAGCTATACACATTTGGAAGCCATTGGAAGACCAGGGTAGACAAGTGACACACTCTGATTTACATTTTTAGAAGATAGCTCTGATTACTATTTGGAAAATATACCTAAGAAAAGTACAAATGGGAACACCTGGTTGGCTCAGTAGGTAGAGCATGCACCTCTTGGTCTTCAGGTTCTGAGCCCAAGTCCTGCACTGGGTATAGAAATCACTAAAAAAAATAACAAATTTTTAAAAAAAGAAAAAAGAAAAGAAAAGCACAAATGGAAGGAAAAAAAGATACGACAGAAAGCTATTTCAGTAGTCCAGACAAGAAATAATAGTGACTTGCATTGATGCAGTAGAGGTAGAGATGGTGAAAATGATCTGGGAAAATAAATTCTGTGAATGATTATGAATTTGTTTCTGGAGCCAAGGCAGAGCAGATGAGCATTAATAGTCTCTCAGGGGCGCCTGGATGGCTCAGTCAGTTGAGTGTCCAACTCAATTGATTCTGGCTCAGTTCATGATCTCACAGGTTGAGGTATTGAGCCTCCAGTCAAGCTCCATGCTGACAGTGCAGAGCCTGCTTGGGATTCTCTCTCCCCAGCTCTCTCTGCCCTTCCCCTGCTCTCTTTCTCACGGGCTCACGCATTCTCCCTCAAAATAAACATTAAAAAGTTTAAAATAAAGTTTAGGGGCACCTGGGTAGCTGAGTCAGTTAAGCCTCTGGCTCTTGGTTTCAGCTTAGGTCATGATCTCACAGTTCCTGGGTTCAAACCCCACATAGGGCTCCACATCTGCTTGGAATTTGCTCTCTCTCCCTAGCTCTCTTCCCCTCCTCTGCTTGTGTTCATGCTCTCTCTCAAAATAAACTTTAAAAAAGTTCAAATTTTTTGCTTTTCAACTATTAATTCCACTCCTACAAATGTATTGTGGTTTTTTTGTTATGAAACTGGTACACATTTATTGAAAACATCAAAAAAGACCAGTATTTTCCACAATTCTACCATGTTACTTAACTATTTTAACATTACTATGTATATATACTTTTAGTCTTTTTTCAATCAATATACTTTGGAACTTACTGCACCCAGCTGGTTTTACAATCTGTTTTGCCCATTAAAAATGTTTTATGAAACATTTTTCCATGTTATTATTAGGTATTCATTTATAACATGATTTTTATTAGCTGCTATGGACTGAAAGTGTCCCCTCAAAATTCATATGTTAGAACACTAACCCTCAATGTGATTATATTTGGAGGTGGGGCCTTTCAGGGTAATTAGGTTTAATTGAGGTCCTGAGGGTAGGGTCCTCATAATGGGATTAGGATCCTTATAAAATGAGAGCAAAAAGCTAGCTCTCTTTCCCTCTCCACTATGTGAGGACACAGTATGAAAGCAGCCACCTGCAAGCCAAGATGATGGCCTTCACCAAGAACCAGAAACTTGATCTTGGACTTCCCAACCTCCAGAATTGTGAAATATAAATGTCTATTGTTTAAGCCACTAAGTCTATAGTATTTTGTTGTAGCAGCCCAAGCTAAAATAGTTTATATTTATTGAATAAACAGTATTTATATTGTTCACTCCTTCAGGACTTTTACCTTGCTTTCAATTATCAAGTATTATTATTATGGGGTGAACTGTGTTACCCTAAAACTCAAATGCTGAAGTCCTTACCTACCTCAAGTAATTCAGAACTTGACTTCTTTTTTAATTTATTTTTGAGACAGAACGCGTAAGTGGGGGAGAGGCAGAGAGAGAGGGGGACAGAGGATCCAAAGTGGGCTTTGCACTGACAGCAGAGAGCCCAATACAGGGCTGGAACTCACGATCTGTAAGATCATGACCTGAGCCAAAGTCAGATGCTCAAACAACTGAGCCACCTAGGCACCCCCCAGAATGTGACCTTATTTGGAAATAGGGTCATTGCAGATATAATTAAGATGAAGTCTTCAGTGTAGACTCTACTCCATTATGACTGATATCCTTATAAAAAAAGGGGAAATTTGGACACAGAGACATGCACACAAGGACACCATCATGTAAGATGCTTCTACAAGCCAAGGAATGCCATTGATTGCCAGTAAGCCAGCAGAAGCTAAGGGAGAGGCATGAAACAGATTCTATCACAACCCTCAGAAGTACCCTACAGACAGACACTCTGATCTTGGACTTTGAGCCTCCAGAAGTGTAAGACAAATGTCTGTTGTTTAAGCCACCCTGTCTGTGACACTTTGTTATGGTGGCCCTAGCAAATAAATACAATTATAAATAACTTTGAATGACTGTTCTCACAGATAATCAGGGATACAAAAATTTTTACTTTCTTAGGATGAAGTCCTAGAAGTAAACTTGCAGTCAAATAAGAAGTGTGGTTTAGTGGCTTTTAAGACATAATATCCCATATGACTTGTCTTTTCTCAACAGGCTCTCCTTTAACTTTTCCCTAGGATCCCCAGAGGTACTTAGGGCAGGAATTATTAGTCCCCTTTAACACAGGTTCAGGAAACTCATTAGTAATCAAACCTAGCATTTTTTTTAAGATTTTATTTTTTAAGTAATCTCTACACCCAACATTGAGGCTCAAATTTACAACCCTGAGATTAAGAGTTTCATGATTCAATGACTAAGCCAGCGAGGTGCCCCAAACTTAGCATTCTTTTTAACAGACTAGAGCTGAACTGTCTAATATGATAGCCAGCAACCCCAAGTGGTTATTTAAATTTAACCAAAATTAAATAAAATTAAAGATTCAGTCTCTAGGTCATATTAGGCATATTTCAAAAGCTGGATAATTTCCTATGACTAGCAGCCACCATACTGAAGAGCACCGACATGGAACATTTTCATCACTGCAGGAAATTCTATCCAACAGCACTGGACTAGAACATACTGAGAATCTAGAATGCAGCCTTACTATAATGCTTGGTATAACAGATCTTTGAGTAAGTACTACAACTAGTTAACCAGGATAGTCAAGAAATTGCTTATGATAATTCAGCCAAGGATATATGTAACATAGTAAGGGCAGGAGCCAGGCTAAGACCTACTGAAGCCTAACTATAACAAAAGTCTATCTGAAATACCAGAGGGGCCTCTCAAGGGTAATCACAAATGCTGTGACTCATGCTTGAAGAGCAACAGGCAAATAATATACATAGTAAGGAGGTAAATTTACAAAGAAACACATCTAGGTTGAAGCTCTGGTTCCTTATCATGGAAACACACCCAATAATTCCTACTTGATGTATTTTAACCTATGTCTACACTGAACTGAATTTTCATCTTACTGGAAAGCCTAAAAGATCACCTAACTAGGTTAAGCCCTTGTTCTTAGAAAATTCATTGCTCTCTAGACCACAAAACAATGTGCTATTCTTAATAGATACCATTAACTGTTTTATCAGTGCCATGAACTGGGCACTAAACTTTTTAAAGAAATGTATATTTCAATGTTTAAACATACAGGGGAAAAAAAAAAGATTATGACCACCCAGGTATCTAACAGCCAGACTGACCAGAGCATTATTTTGCCATATTTGCTTCACATCATTTTTCTCCCCAAGATTTATTAGTTACAACTAAAATCCCTACTTAGTCCCATTCCTTTCTTCCCTTTAAGTATCCATTATCTGACATGAATATGAATTATCCCAGTCCAAATTTTTATTTTTATATTTATATCCATAAACAATGCATGATTTTAAGTGTTAACTATATGGTATCATACTGTCTGCAACTTACTTTTCTACCCATTTTGATTGGAGACTGATTACTAATAAAGCTTATTCATTTAACTTAGTTTAGCATTTCATTTGATTAACATACCACATTTATCCAAACCTCTACCATGGGACTTTTAGGTTGTTTCCAAGTTCCTGTCATTACAAATAATGCAGTAATGAACATTCTCCTGATGTCTCATTTGACACAACCACAAGAATCAATATCACTAGGCTCTAGAGTACACCTATTTTCAACTTTACTACTAGGTATTGCAAATTGCCCTATAAGTGGTCATATAAACTTAAACTCCCACCTACTATATATAAGTTCCCAAAGCAATACTTTCCCAAAACGTTTCTGTGTCAAATAATTTTCTGAATGTGTTATATTCAAAATAATTTAAAGTAACAAACCAGCTTCTAGTTTATAGTTCTTGGAACAAAGACCACATCTGTATAAACACAACAAAATACAACAAAGCCAAAATATCCAATAAGACTTTCCAAAGCCATCTTTCGTTCAGTGCCCATCTATGCTAGGCATTTAATCCTAATGACTTTATAGAAATATATTTAAAAAAAAAATTTTAACCCTAAGGTAAGACATATACCTTACAATGCAACAAAGTTCCCATCTGCTTAAACATATATGTATTATGTATTTATATTATAAAACAAAAGTCTTACAAAACAATACTTTTCCTTATTAATTACAACTCTATCTTTTTTTTCTAAATCTTTCTCCTCTTTCACCTGCTAAAGTGATTTCAGGACTAATGAATCAGGCCTGTAGGTTGAAAAAAACACTGCTTTGGGTGTACAATTTCCACGTTGCAGATTAAGTGAAACATAGAGATGTTAAGTAACTTTTCCAAGGTCTCGGACTTAAAACAGTGATATCTGAAATTCAAATCTGGATTCAAAAGCCTATACTTCTTGCAGTCCACAGCTTTCTCCCTGCAGTATTAATGCCAAAACCATATCAAAAGAAACCACTAATGCTTCAATTTATGCCCACATAAACCAAGGCAATTCTATAAATAAATAGAATTCTATAAATAAATTCTATAAAATAAATAAATTCTATAAATAAATTCTATAAAATAAATAAATTCTATAAAACTATGGTGGTATTGAATAATCAAAAAATCAAAGTTGCAAACAAG